TTCTATATAAGCAACCCCTAAACCCCCCTCTTGGGTTGCACAGACCACTTTCGCCCCTTTCGGAAACACATTAAATGGTCTGACCGGGCCCGTGTGCGAAATACGCATCAGTCGGAAAGCGCACGTTAAATCTCCAAAGTGAGTAAGTAAGTAAGTAAGTAAGGAAGGGATGAACCTTGATTCTGCATCCATTCAAAAACTCCTGAATCCTCATCGACTCCTGAATGCTACGATTTTGACGATGTCATCTTGATCATCAGAACCATCAAAGGCGGCAAAATACAGTAAGCAACTTTTCTCCCACTTTTCAATTAAGATGTAGACAAGTACAACACGTTTAGTAACGATTTAAAAAATTGTACGAGTTTCTAAGTGTCAATAATTAGTAGAACAGACGTAAAACAGACATACGAATGGACACGTTATCGACAACTAATCCTATATATTTTAGTAACAATGATTAGTTGGAGTGACTAGTATATATTTGCAAAAAATAGATTTATAAAAGTTCAGCTTATTAAGTACAATACACCCATCAAATAGAGCTGCATGTGTCAGGGACCCAATCTAGATAGCGCCAACATCTTGGACCGCTGCGTCGGAAGTAGGTAACGTTTCTAGCTCTTACGTCGAGTAAAATCTGAAATGATTCGCGTGATACATATATGATGTACATATATGTGAACAGCCTCTCGTTATTAATGCCCTTTAATTGTAGTCATCTTACTATTTGATCGTTTATGCCACACAAAGCTATAAGTTCTGTAATAAAAATACGGAAAAATGAACAGATTAATCTCATGGACATATATTCAAAAATGGTAGCATAACGAATGAAGTAATGTTTTAATTTCCGTTCCCATAATACTGTTTAGATGAAACACCGTTAGCAACTTGAATGGGAATAAACAGTGGTAGCTGTCACTAGCCAAAGGATACTAGACTATACAAGAACAGTTTTAGCATCTCACACCGTCCCGACAGGCGCCAACCTCTCAAATATTGCACAACATATATTGATGGCGTAATATGATATTAATATTACATTGTTTCTTGAATACTGTGCGAAGAATATTTTGTACGATGGCAAGATTCAAAACAAGTATCATTATCTTCTTTGCGAGGAATTTAGAAGTTGGAGTATTGAGAGAGGATAAGATCTGTGGATGAACAACATCACTTGCTTGGTAATGGTGTTACAACATACACCTAAGCGTCGCTCCTAACTGTAATAAAGACGTTGTTCATCAATATATCTTATCTCTACTCAGTTTTCATTATCGCTAAAATTAGACAAAACTGTAAAAATGGTTTAACATTCAATGTTATCAATATTAATTAACACAGGTATTGTGGTAGCACAGCTAGTCCCTGTAAAATTTTCATTTAAAAAATAAAAATAAAAATCACAGCGCACAGGGAAATTGAGCGAGGCTCAATTCGAACGGTATTCCCATGTTATGTTCTGTTTTTCTGAAAATGTACTTGAAGCGGATTGGTCAAGAAGTTTATATGAAGACCACTCCGGAATACAATGATTCAAAAATGCATACATGATATTGTAAATATATCTAGATTTTTAGACAGGATAATGCATAGATAATATTCCAACAGTCATTACAAGATATCAATAAAATCGACCTGATGTCAAGCACATGTTATTTGACAAGATTGCAGTAGTCGTCAATTATAGGTGGATATGTTTGAATTTCCCCTTAGGACTGTGGTGAATGAATTATGGCTCAATTCGGAGTAGCTAGTTCAAGAAATGGATGGGATAAATGATAAACATGTAAGGTTCACTCCCAGACATCCCATTAGTCTTTAGTCTTTAGACTTAAGAATGGACAGGCTACAGGTGTGGATGGTAATCCTGACGAAGTGTTAAAAAAATGTAAGTTCAGTTGATTTGTTGTACAGAATTATTAACTATTGCTTTGTAAATGGAACTGTACCAGCTATGTGGAACAGCGATATATCCATCCTTTTCCTAAGAGCGGTATGAAGGATTTTAGAAACCCTTTGGTATCATTGTAACATCTATTCCTAACAAGTATATGCTTATGTACTCAATTAAAGACTGAGTGGCTTGAAAAGGACAATATCATAGCTGATAAGCAAAATGATTTTAGATCCAAATTAGACTGTATTGATCATTTATAGGTTTAAACGTCTTTAGTTCAGTATAGAAAAAAACAAAACAATCAACCTTTGTTACATTTGTTGATGTAAAAAAAAATTTGACACCGTTTATAGCGAAGCTGAGGAATATTGGAGCTCGAGGAAAGATATTAAGAGCTATCCAGTCGATTGTATGTCGATGTCAATTGTACTGCACATGTAGGAGAATTTCTTACAGTACGTTTTACTGTTTAACATGGTGTAAAGCAAGGCTGTAAATTATCCCCAGCTATATTTTCTGTGTATGTTAACGACCTGGCTATTAACAATCTCAATTGTGGCGTACTTGTTGATGAGACTATGCTCTCCATTTTAATGTATACTGCCGATATTGCATTAACTGCCCCCAATGAATGTTCATTACAATCCATGCTTAATGTACTGCATGAATGGTCAACACGTTGGCAACTGTCAGTGAATATGAATAGGACAAACGTAATTCATTTTAGAAATCACAACCGAGATCATCGGTTTCATTCCTCTACGCTGGGCAAACACTGGTCTATGTAGAATCATATCGTTTTCTGGGACTACGGGTTGACGAGCATCGAGATATGTGAAACTGTGAAAGAGTTGTACAATTCTGTCAGCCATGCTTTGTCTTATTCTGTTGGGTGTATGTCTTATGATGTTTTTATGAAACTGTATGAAAGTCTTGTTGAGCCGGTAATGTTCTATGGCTCTGGTATATGAGGATAAAACGTTAATCTAATCCAAAATAGAGCCTGTAAATTATTTCTTGGTGTTAGTAACGGTACCTCCATGTATAGCCACTAATGGAGACATGGGTCTCTCCTCCCCGTTTGTTACATTACATGCTAATGTTTTTAGACTACCCCAAGATTAATAACAGTACTTGTAACGCTTTGATGAAGAAAATGGTTACTATGTAAAAGTTCATGGAGTACTAAAGTTGTTAAAATTGCCTGTAATCTTAATATTTATGATGTTATGAATATTATGACTGCTCCAATGTCCCGAAAGAAGAAAATTGTCCATATTAAAAACGTTCTCGTAAACAAAGATGAACTGAGCTTGAGAACAGAGCTTTGGAACGATAAACATAACATTAAGGGCAATACATTAAGAACTTTCATGATCGTAACGTTGTTGCTCCTTATGTTTTAAATACAGGGACCACCGTCGCATTTTAGCTAGTTTTAGATCTGGATCGAAACAGGACGATTTACAACCCCCCAACCCTTTTAGAAACTAGAATCTGCCCGCACTGTTTTAAATTTGTTCATAAAAGTTTGTCGAAAATGAATTTCACTTTATTAAATGTTATGTCCTTTATGAACTTAGAAGTATTTTACTTAGATAATGGTCATCTCTTTTGAAACACGTGACGCATTCATAAAATAACTTCCTCTGTAAGGTTCACACCCAATTGTCAGACATCCCATTTGGCAGGTGACCGAATCATCAGACAGACCAGTCAAGTGTGACCAGTGTATTCGCCTGGTCTAAACTACTAATTACTGTGCTGCTCTCGACTGTGGGCAGAGTAAGCTATTCAAACTCGTTAAGTGATACAGATTAACCAGATTCCTCTATGCTGGGCAAACACTGGTCTATGTAGAATCATATCGTTATCTGGGACTACGGGTTGACGAGCATCTAGATATGTGAAACTGTGAAAGAGTTGTACAATTCTGCCAGCCATGCTTTGTCTTATTCTGTTGGGTGTATGTCTTATGATGTTTTTATGAAACTGTATGAAAGTCTTGTTGAGCCGGTAATGTTCTATGGCTCTGGTATATGAGGATAAAACGTTAATCTAATCCAAAATAGAGCCTGTAAATTATTTCTTCGTGTTAGTAACGGTACCTCCAGTATAGCCACTAACGGAGACATGAATATTATGACTGCTCCAATGTCCCGAAAGAAGAAAATTGCCCATATTAAAAACGTTCTCGTAAACAAAGATGAACTGAGCTGGAGAACAGAGCTTTGGAACGATAAACATCAATGTTTAAAACTACTTTCAACTACTTGTATGTATAGATCATAAACAGCTGGCATACGCATTTTATATTGATCAAACTGTTATTAAGATCTGTACAAATGTTCTATTTCTTATGTAAAACATAACGAAATACAAATTATTTCATAATATCATATAGTTGTCATAATGAAAATAGTATTAAAGCATTATTGTTACATGCAATAATAATACTGTTCGGTATCATTAGTAAACTTTGCAACCACATATTATGTGAAACCTTCTATAAAGGGTGAAGAAATTCAATGAAGCAGTGGTAAAATCTAACCATATATACAAAATTGTATAGTTTTGGAAATACCAACTATACAAAATTGTATATTTTGGAAATACCAAATATACAAAATTGTATATTTTGTATATATGGGTATTTTTTCTTGTGAACGCAGATCACCACAAACCATAATTCAAAACATAAATGCCCGAGAAATGTCAGTCTTAAATACTTACTGAAACAGATTCCATATGGAGTTTCAGTCAGGTGAGCTAATAATAGATCTTCATGCCAACAACCTTGTGTGTATTGATCGGTTACTTTACACATACACTGAAAACACCCTCACAAACTGTGTTAGGATGGTATATGTAAGACGTAGAATGGACATTTTCAAACGAATGACGTGTGTAAGGTGACATCCGAGTGTGTGAACCAGTTCTATCAACACAGGGGCGGGACCACAATAGTACACCGCCGTATACCCAAGACTTTCGAAATTAAACAACAACATTAAGATAGCAGTGGACAGAAACATACCTACCCTAAACATGGAGACAGTGTGGGAGTATATGATAGTATTAAACATGAACAACTTACAGAGAGACCATCACTGTGTGCGGGCAGTCCTCCCGTCTGTACAACCAGGAAGTAACCAGTGTTCTACTTTCGTTATCGGGTAGGTAGGGGAAGCAACTCTTACAGTAACAGTCTATTTCAGATCCATGTCCACTTTCCTTCTGTACAAGACAGGTTCAAGCCTCCTTGCTTTACAATTACATGTTTGTTTGGATAATTTGTCTCATTTTCTGTTTCTCATTAGGTTACCTTTTTCTGGCACATGTTAACTTAATCCGTGTAGACTGCTACTTTAGGGGTAGACTAGATGTGAGACTAATTCGGGAGACTCAAGTGCCATACTTAGCCCAGGTACAAAACACCAAGTAATGTGAAAATGTTTCTATTTCTTGTAAGGTATGAACAGCTATCACGATCATAGGGATTCCCTGTCGTAGTCTGAGGGACAGCTGTCTTGTGAAGGCTTGGATGTGAGATCAAGCCAAGGGTTTCAAGAGCCATATTTACAGTAAAGTATACATGGACGTCCGAGGAAGATGAGGTAGACAATTTCTTATTTCTTCTGATTGAAAAACTGTTTGTCCTTAATGACATCACCAGACGAATAAAACATGTACTGGAAAGGTTTCAGATATTTTTCGATTTGAAATAAACTTGAACTAAACAGAAAATAAATCGAAATAATGAGAATAGATAAAAATTTAAATTATTGAGATTAATTTCAAATAAAGAGAAAATATTCAAAGTGGCAGAAAACAAATTAAATTCGAGGAAATAATTGAATGACGATAAATTTCGATTTAGAAAAATACATTATTGTTACCAAAGTAACACCATCCGGCTTTCGTATGCGGATCTTTGACGTTTACCACTTTGGTGAAACCCAAGAGCACTGATTGGGCGCTGTCAAACCTGGAAACATAATCAGGGCAAACTGGAACTCGAATCCAGGATCATAGGTTAATAACGTCCCCAAGATACGCAACTCTGCACAACGAATTGCAGCGCCTTAGACGACGAACTCAGACAGAGGTCAAGTGCCCAATACTGTCGGAACATCCGAAACTGTGTCTTCAGGTAACGTGAGTGAGTGAGTAAATTAGATTTACCGACGCTTTCAGGACTATTCGTGTGGTATCACGTCAGCGGACCCATGTTGCACGAATGTAGGCAATCAAACTAGGATATTTGGGGAGACAAGCCAAAAATATGTGTACAACATAGAGTGTTCTCAGATGAGGGAGTGACAAGTCAACGATAGATGTGACACAGGGTTCTCTGGGAGCCTGACAGTATTCTACATGTTCTGTTGGTGCTAGTATCTATGTTAGTGTACACTTTTCCAAAAAAGAAATGCACAGGTAGTATGTAGTTCATTGAACCTGACTACACTAAAACTCCGGTATATAAATTGGACATATGTTATTGGAAAATGTTGGTGGCCTGATATTCGACAAACGGTGCATAAAAATGCAGCCATTGTCGATTTGCAATGTCTTAAACGGCATTGTTTTCATGCTTGTAAAAAATGTCATGGAGGAAAACAGTAAAGGAAAATGCATGTGCAAGTTATTGCATTCGTAACTCGTGGTAGTGGCTATAAATAGGCAATCAGAAGCCAATAATTTGTCATTCATTTGTCAACATTTTTCAAGGTCGAAAATGCCGAGACTCAGTGCTGCCGATCGGAAGATCGCCATAGGACGTATCCTAAGAGGTGAATCGCAGCATTCTGTTGCACGCCACTTCAACGTCCACCACAGCACTATTTGCCGCCTTTGTTACCGATACACAAAGGTTCAATTCCACTGCTGACCGTCCGAGAACCAGCCGACCAAGAGTTACCACCCCTGCACAGGATCGCTACATTCAACTGTTCCACCTACGTCATCGCAATGCCACAGCTACGGAGACTGGAGGACGTATCCCTGGTTTGAGGATGATATCGGACCAGACTGTCAGGAACCATCTTCGCGAGGCTGGAATCCGACTTTTTGTCCCTGTTTTGCAACAGATCAATCGTCAGCGACGCTTGCGTTTGTGCCATACCTTACAGCCTTGGAATTTGAGAAACTGGAGACGAGTGTGGTTTAGCGATGAATCGCGATTTCTTCTTCACCGGCGAGATGGAAGACAACGTGTTTATCGTCGTCGAAATGAGCGTTTTGCCCCACATTGTGAATTGACAATTTCGGTGGCGGTTGTGTCATGGTGTGAGGCCATCTGAATTGGTTGTGGTTCAGGGAAATTTGACAGTAAATCGCTACATGAATCAATTCTTCAACCTCATCTTCTTCCAATCATTGGCCGCCAGAGTGAGGTGTTTTAACAGACAGGACAACGCTCCACCTCACACAGCTCGTGTCATGGTAGACTACCTCATAATGCCAACATCGACGGCTTGCCCTGGCCGTCGAGATCGCGTTACAAGGAGAATGGCGCAGAATTCTGCAGGTCAGAAATTATACACTTATCCAGTCAGTGCCGAGGAGATGCAGAGCCGAGATTGCTGCCCGGGGCGGTCAAACGAGGTACTGAGTTCAGCGCCACCTCGTTGCCTTTCGTGACATGACAATGAACAGTTTTCTATGCCTTTGTACAACGACAACATGTGACTATCGAGCTCTAAAATTTCATATTTGTATCTATGATATTCAATTAAATATATCGACTTTATAAGGTATGATAAATTTACTAAAATATACCTGTGCGTTTCTTTTTGGAGAGTGTATAACGGTCAGGGAAATTGAATCAACGTTCAACACGAGCGGTACACACGTTACTGGGTAGACGTGCACGCACCTGTCTATAGTACACACGTTACTGGGTAGACTTGCACAGATATCAAGAACGATCAGACACAGGCTACGGGTGTACCAGGGATTGTGTAGGTGACAAGGAAGATCAGACACATGCTACGGGTGTACCAGGGATTGTGTAGGTATCAAGGACGATCAGACACAGGCTACGGGTGTACCAGGGATTGTGTAGGTATCAAGGACGATCAGACACAGGCTACGGGTGTACCAGAGATTGTGTAGGTATCAAGGGAGATCAGACACATGCTACGGGTGTACCAGGGATTGTGTAGGTATCAAGGGAGATCAGACACAGGCTACGGGTGTACTAGGGATTGTGTAGGTATCAAGGGAGATCAGACACAGGCTACGGGTGTGCTAGGGATTACGTAGGTATCAAGGACGATCGGACACAGGCTACGGGTGTACCAGGGATTGTGTGGGTATCAAGGAAGATCAGACACAGGCTACAGGTGTACAAGGGATTGTGTAGGTATCAAGGAAGATCAGACACAAGCTACGGGTGTACCAGGGATTGTGTAGGTATCAAGGAAGATCAGACACAAGCTACGGGTGTACCAGGGATTGTGTAGGTATCAAGGACGATCAGACACAGGCTACGGGTGTACCAGAGATTGTGTAGGTATCAAGGGAGATCAGACACAGGCTACGGGTGTACCAGGGATTGTGTAGGTATCAAGGGAGATCAGACACAGGCTACGGGTGTACTAGGGATTGTGTAGGTATCAAGGGAGATCAGACACAGGCTACGGGTGTACCAGGGATTGTGTAGGTATCAAGGGAGATCAGACACAGGCTACGGGTGTACCATAGATTCTGTGGATATCAAGGAAGATCAGACACACGCTACGGGTGTACCAGGGATTGTGTAGGCATCAAGGAAGATCAGACACAGGCTACGGGTGTACCAGGTATCGTGTAAATAAACACAACCAATTTACAACACATGTCCATTACACAAGGAGTAATCCATAGAAGACATACACAATAATGAACCTGTACCGAAATAATGACATTGTTATTTGACACAGTTCGATCGAGGCGACCCTCTATGCTCTGTAACTGGCACATTGAAGCATATGTTCATGTAGTTATAGTAATAAAGTTATGCATTGACATCATTGCACAAAATATACACAACTACACACATTTAAATTCTAGCTTATATCATGATGTACTAGAATAGTTTATTTACGGTTATGACGTTACTTTTCAGTAACATACATACGATTGAAACACACTGACATGGTGATGGGTGTGCCCCGAGGTGTGATCTGTGCCCCGAGGTGTGATCTGTGCTCTGAGGTGTGATCTGTGGTGTGATCTGTGATCTGTGCTCTGCGATGTGATCTGTGGTGTGATCTGTGATCTGTGCTCTGAGATGTGATCTGAGCTCTGAGGTGTGATCTGAAATGTGATCTGTGCTCTGAGATGTTTTCTGTGCTCTGAGATGTGATCGGTGCTGTTGGATATAATCGGTGCTGTGAGATGTGATCTGTGCTGTGAGATGTGATCTGTGATGTGAGATGTGCTCTAAGATATGCTCTAAGATATGATCTCTGTCCTGAAATGTGCTCTGATTGTTGTGAAGTGTAATGGCTGACGTGCTAGTAGCTTTCATCGTAGCTCCCATACTTTAACAGTGGCTTACGACAGTCACAGGGATACGATGGCTTTGTGGAACGGGGCCTGATCTTCATGGATGGATGAGTTACTATTCCTTCGCCAACAGCAACAGGGAACACTGTAACCGACGCCAGTCACTACACTGCAACTGTCATCAAGGATTAGGCTGCACCAGAGGCCATATACATCATCGGTCTCTGGTGTATGGTCTCTGGCTGAGTGGGGACGACTGTGGCTCAGTCGTCTAGGGCGCCGCAATTGCAGCAGTGCTGAGACGCCATGATATTCCTGGAATACTGTTCAAAGTGGTGTTAAAACCAACTCACTCGCTCACTCTACCTACGCAGAACGTGTATGTACAAACGTCATGTCCATAACGTACAATGATGCAGTGATCTCCAGTCAAGAACATAACGTACAAGGATGCAGTGATCTGCAGTCAAGAACAACATAACGTACAAGGATGCAGTGATCTCCAGTCAAGAACAACATAACGTACAAGGATGCAGTGATCTCCAGTCAAGAACAACATAACGTACAAGGATGCAGTGATCTCCTGTCTAGAATTACATAACGTACAAGGATGCAGTGATCTCCTGTCAAGAACAACATAACGTACAAGGATGCAGTGATCTCCAGTCAAGAACAACACAACGTACAAGGATGCAGTGATATCCAGTCAAGAACAACATAATGTTATTCCAAAGAGTACCTCAGAAGATTCACTATTTCCTCGCAGTAATAATTCCTTTTAGCAACAGTGACATATTCCTCTAACCTTCTGTGACCTTCCCTTCTGCTCATGTCAAATGTGTTCAAGGACAGGAGGTGTTTCACTATAGTCACGTTACCTCCCTTACATGCCAACATCAGGCAGTCCATGCTATCTCCATCAGTAAGTGACAGATCAGCTCCCTCAAACACAAGAAGATTATAAACATCATACTGTCCTCTTTCAGCTGCCATCATAATTGCTGTTTGTTTCAATGCCCCCCATCGTTTGTTGATGTCAAATGTTTTCAAGGACAGGAGGTGTTTCACGATATACACGTTACCTCTCTTACATGCCAACATCAGGCAGTCCCTGTTGTCTTCATCAGTAAGTGACAGATCAGCTCCCTCCAACACAAGAAGATTATAAACATCATACTGTCCTCCTTCAGCTGCCATCATAACTGCTGTTTGTTTCTGTGACCCCCATCGTCTGTTGATGTCAAATGTTTTCAAGGACAGGAGGTGTTTCACTATAGACACGTTACCGCCCTTACATGCCAGCATCAGGCAGTCCATGTTGTCTTCATCAGAAAGTGACAGATCAGCTCCCTCCAACACAAGAAGATGATAAACATCATACTGTCCTCTTGCAGCTGCCACCATAACAACTGTTTGTTTCAATGCCCCCCATCGTCTGTTGATGTCAAATGTTTTCAAGGACAGGAGGTGTTTCACAATATACACATTACCACTCTTACATGCCAACATCAGGCAGTCCCTGTTGTCTTCATCAGTTAGTGACAGATCAGCTCCTTCCAACACAAGAAGATTATAAACATCATACTGTCCTCTTTCAGCTGCCATCATAACTGCTGTTTGTTTCCGTGACCCCCATCGTCTGTTGATGTCAAATGTTTTCAAGGACAGGAGGTGTTTCACTATTAACACGTTACCTCTCTTACATGCCAACATCAGGCAGTCCCTGTTGTCTTCATCAGTAAGTGACAGATCAGCTCCCTCCAACACAAGAAGATTATAAACATCATAGTGTCCTCTTTCAGCTGCCAACATAACTGCTGTTTGTTTCTGTAACCACACTCGTCTGTTGATGTCAAATGCTTTTAAGGACAGGAGGTGTTTCACTATAGACACGTTACCTCCCTCACATGCCAAAATCAGGCAGTCCCTGTTGTCTTCATCATAGTGTGTTCTTTCAACTGCCATCATAATTGCTGCTTGCTCCCACAAACCCATTCGTCTGTTGATGTCAAATGTTTTCAAAGACAGGAGATGTTTCACTATAAAGACGTTACCTCCCTCACATGCCAACATCAGGCAGTCCATGTTGTCTTCATCAGTAAGTGACAGATCAGCTCCCTCCAACACAAGAAGATTATAAACATCATACTGTCCTCTTTCAGCTGCCATCATGACTGATGTTTGATTCCTCAACCCCGCTCTTCTGTTGATGTCAATTGTTTTCAAGGACAGGAGGTGTTTCAGAATAGCCACGTTACCGCCCTTACATGCCAACATCAGGCAGTCCATGTTGTCTCTATCAGTAAATGACAGATCAGCTCCCTCCAACACAAGAAGATAATAAACATCATACTGTCCTCTTTCAGCTGCCATCATGACTGCTGTTTGATTCCACAACCCCGCTCTTCTGTTGATGTCAAATGTTTTCAAGGACAGGAGGTGTTTCACAATAAACACGTTGCCTCCCTCACATGCCAACATCAGGCAGTCCCTGTTGAATATATCAGTAAGTGACAGATCAGCTCCTTCCAACACAAGAAGATTATAAACATCATACTGTCCTCTTTCAGCTGCCATCATAACTGCTGTTTGTTTTTGTGATCTCATTCGTCTATTGATGTTTAATGTTTTCAAGGACAGGAGGTGTTTGACTATAGACACGTTACCTCCAACACATGCCAACATCAGGCAGTCACAGTTGTTTCCATCAGTTAGTAACAGATCAGCTCCCTCCAACACAAGCAGATTATAAACATCATACTGTCCTCCTTCAGCTGCCATCATAACCGCTGTTTGATGCCCCCACCCTCCTCGCATGTCTATGGTTATGTGTTCACATGTTAGTAGATACTCTACAACTGATACATGGCCGTTGCTAGATGCTATTTGGAAAGCGTTCACATTGAAAACATTCTGGAGAGTAAGATCTGCTTTGTGTGAAACAAGGAACTTGAGGATTTCACCCTGCCCTGACTCAGCACACACCATAGCAGGGGTGTTTCCTGTACTATCGCGGTCATTGATCAGGTGTTGAAACTTCTCAATGATAACATTTACTATATCTTTGCTTCCTGATTTACATGAAAGATGAAGACAGTTGTAACGATCTTCGTCTGTCACTGAAACATCAGCTACTTCTTGGAGGAGGAAGTTGAACACACCTAACTGTCCTGCCTCAGCAGCGATCATCAGCAGAGTCTTCTCTCCCTTTGTCCTCCTGTCTACATCATATTCCCCACGTTGTTTGAGTACAGCAGCAATATGTTGCAGGTGCCTGAGATTGCCATGTTCTGTACAGCCTATGATACTATCATAGAAGTCAGCGAGTACAGAATGTGAAAGACTTCCCTCTCTACACATCAGTGACACTGAGTGTTTAAACAGTGAATGGTTAGTTGACAGTGAAACCCAATACAGAAAACATTCACCTGAGCTCTTATCTTTTCTATGAAGAACAGTTGGCAAGTCTGCCGTCATCTGTGTCAAGAAGTCGGAGGCTATTTGAACACAGCTGAATACAGGGTGACTTACTGTCCATCTGAAGCACCCTTCTCGGACGCCCTCCATCAATCTGCTGATCACTAACGGGTGGAGACTTGAGGTGATGTAGATCATGTTTGTGACATCATCAGTGTGGGTTGTCTGCTGGTGATCAGCCTTGTTCAGCCTCACTCTTTCATATAAAAACTGCAGGGAACAATGTTCCAGTAACAAATCTTCATTGAGATTCCCCAAGGCACATGCTGCAGCATCATAGATGGATGGATGAGAGAAGCAGGCTACATGATTCTCCACTGTACAGTAGGTGCCGGTAAAATTGCTGATCTCCCTGCCAATGTCTGTCCGAGTGCAAGACACGATATCCTCCTTTACAGCCTGAAACAGATCAGTGAGACTCTTCTCCTTCCCCTTAAAAGAGGCAAGGTTCAATTTCCCTCCACACAGGACGAGGAGAACTAGAGCTGCCGACCTGCTGCTGCCTTCACGGACAATGGTGTCAAGGTCTCCTCTCAGGTAGGTCACAGGTTTCTGGAAGAAGTCAATAATGTTGTGCATCTGGAAGGCTGGGTTGGTACAATACAGTTGACAGATCAGAGGAAATCCAAACATGCTGTCTTGTAATCGAGTGATGGTGTTCTTGTCCTCATTGGAGATATTACATTTTTTACTTCTTTTCTCGAACAAATTCATAATAGATTCCTTCTCCTCAATTGTCAGGCCGGTTTTGGTCATGTCAATGACACTTTCTGGCTTAAAGAGATTTACCTTGAACTGGTGCATTCTTCCACGTCCTTCATTCCAGTTGTAGCTTCTGGATGTGAAAATTAAGAGGAGCTTGTGAGGGCTTTTTGGCTTCTCATCTGCTTGAGTCTTGTCTTGCTTATTCTTCCAATCTCTCTTCTTCTGGGCTGCTTGTTCTTGTTGGAATGAAGTGTTTACCAAACCATCAACCAGGGCAATCAACACTTTATGAATTTTCTCCGAACTTGAAGGAAATGCTACAGAACCAAATATATCATCAAACACAACCAGCATGTCACATGTTCGTTGAATGATTGTATCCACATCAAAAACTTCAATATTTTCAACAAATACAACTTCGTGTTTTTTGTGGAGATATTTCTCACATATCTTGAGAGCAGTGCATGTTTTCCCTTCTCCAGGAGCTCCACAAATTGCCACATGGTTGTGCCTTTCCAGAAGTTCTTCTGCTTTATGAAGAGTGTGAGTTTCCTTAAACACTTCATTCAGCTGCTTGATCCTGATGCCAAGAGACGCTGAAAAAGACATCAGAGCATTACACTACATCATCACAGAATTATGAAACTAGAAACCATTATTTTTAAAACAAAGAAACACTCAAAGAAAAGAAAACAGCGTCATCACTATCCCCAACCAAGGGTTACCTTAGAGTTTCTTTTCTCTTCGTGGCAGGGGATAAGTATGTTTGCAATATGTACACACAATCTACTTCAAACAAAGAATGTGCAGTGTGTGGGGTTACATTGTAAAGTATAGAATTCATATTTACGAAACTTGTGCTTTCGAATCCAACCTGGGATATTGCCATTATACCAAAGGATGTTAACAGAAAGTGCCTTGCATTCAATTGAAAGCACTTAATTTTCAAATATTCAGTCTGTTCCTATCATATACAAAACATCGTGCAAAGGTTAAGGACACACTTGGGTAACCACATAGAGCGCCCTCGATTTGACATAATTATCAAAATCCGATATATTTGATATCAATATACTTACCCTGCTCGCCTTTTCATGAACACCTGGTATCATTATATAGTCGGAATGGTACAATCGACTGCTTTATGCAGAGTTTCTATTGGATATGGAAAGGGTTTTGTCGCTTTATGTACATATATACAATGCAATCTCTTGCTGTAAAACCAAAACGTAATCCCAACGGAGATCTCCCACCAAGAGAGGGGAGAGAAAACACCAGCAAGAAACAATTTGCCCAAACACGGCTACCACCTGGCATCACGTCACCCAAGGTGTTGAGCGAATCAAGTTCATTCCAAAGAAGGTCCCTTCGGGGAAAAGCAGAAGGGGTGGTAACATTGCCTCAGTAATGTAGGATAAGTATATAATATATCAGATATTGATCAATTTTGACTTATCCTGCATTACATATATTGCAAGTGTATTCCCACAGGAAGGTGGTGGGGAAACCTTCAAAGGGTCTTGGCTGGCAATTGACTAAGCCTGCTCTTCAGTGACTTGATCTGTCAGATGAATCAGCATATCGCTGATTAGGTCGCAAAAACAATCAAATAGACGCCGGCAGTTCATTGTATAGCTTCTTCATTAGTTATTATAAACAAAAGAAGGAAGAAGAAATCGTATGCCTGTGATTAGATACAGAAGTAGGTGAGATGTGTGACTCACCTCGACTGTCACTCCCAGTGTTAACATCAACACAATCTGACGGTGGGGGAAACAGGGATAGTGCCTAGTGGTGCACTATCAGCGACGTCCTGGGTTGGGGTTAAGCTGTCCTAACACCAATGACCCAAAATTGTGATGCCTCCTACATCTCTACTGACAGTTCTTGCAGAAGAGTGTGTCAGATTTCCAAAAGCATCCCGCCATTACCAAAGCCACAGTGCAGTTGCCATGTGGCGTCATCGTAAATGCTCTGATTTCATTGGGATTGTTTGCTTCAGGAGGAAGTTTATTTGCTGCTGAGTACTTCTGAAGAATCGTAGACCAGAGCGAGAAGCTGATCATGATTTTAGACACTTCTGACCAGCACATTAAAGTCGGAATATAGAGGCACTTTCTCATACGATGGAGTTGTCCAGTGAGGTTGGGCCGTAATACTCTAATTGGACATAGCAGCAATTCTGCTTCATCATCAGATTCTGCTATAGGTGATAATGGCAGGATGCTGAAACGCCGATCTGGTTGACAAGGAAGTTGTTTATATTGCTTTTAATTGCCAACAGACACCCAGATGTACTGCATTATGACGAGACAGTTCAAACAGTGACCTGTGAAGATCTGGGATAGAATAGGTCTTCAGAGACCCATGCTTGCTGTAGGCGACGAACGGGATCTGGTGGTCTGGTTCGCTGAATTGGTTGATGCATGTCATCGTATCCCAAAAGCCCGTGGATCGATGATCATGATGTCAATCACTGGATTGTATGGTCCAGACTCGATTTTTTTTTACAGATCACCGTCATATAGCTGGAAGATTGCTGAGTGCGGCGTTAAACAACAAACAAACAAACAATCATGTCGCGGTTGTGTTGCAATGCCTGTCCAAAACAGGTGGACAAAACTTCTGCTTTAAGACTTCAAGTTTGTAGGCTTTGAACATGAGTTTGAGTTTGGTTATGTGTGTATGTGTGTAGCCTTTTAGATGACCCGTTCCATACAAGTACACTAGGAAGTGGTCGATGAACAACATGGTAGCCTTCATAGGAGATTTGTCATGACCCTGACGGAAAGACTCAAATGACAATGATGAGAAGCCTCTTGAGTAGCCTTTGGATATCAAATCTGCCTCCTTATGGTCAAGGCGGGAAGATGGTGATTGAGGCTGGCTGTGAATACATCTGTGTTCGGGTATCCAAGATGTCAGACCAAAGGCGTCTGTTCGAAGCATCCACTCTGTGGATGATGGCTTTTCTGGTCTTGACCAGGCGTCTACTGGGACGTTAGCAAAACCCAGAATATGGTAGACTCTGACTGTCACCAGCCTGAGTGATGCCAAGTGTGTTTCAGGATGTACAAGACTACCTTGCTGTTGTCCATCGAAAAGCTGATGCAAATGTTGTATTGTTAAACTGACAGCTTCCAACTCCAAGTTGTTTATGTGCCAGCTGGCTTGAATGTCAGGCCATAGGCTAGAGGTCGTCTGCTCCCCACCTCTCCAAAGAGATTCCTCCAAAGGCGTTCAATGGAAGTGTCCACCATCAGATCAAAACGTAAAGTATTAGATGGAGGACAATCAAGCGATTTTCATCGTGTCTGAGGTAAGGTTGGAGAAACATTTGAAACGGCCGTAACTGAAGGCAATCCAATAGCATCAAGTCATGTGCCGATTGTCAAGATACGTATGAAGACTTGACAATCTTTCAGGAGCAGTAGACCCTTTAATCCCGGGGGTATCGGCTCCTGAACCTTGTACCACTGTTCTACGGTCACTTTTAGAAGGCCTGCTGCTCTGTTGAAGTGATAGCTGATGAAAGTTAATGCCCATGTTGGAGTCAGGAGTCAGTTGTGAATAAGTTTATCATCCAGTCCAGTTGAAATAACAAATGTCGAGGTACGCCGTGATGGGTTTCGTCACTCGCATAAAAATCCACCGGGCTGTGGAAATGTCAAATGGTAAAATACTCATGTAATTCCTGTCTGACAGACGAATAGGGATACGGAGGTACGCATCCTCAAGGTCGATACTACTCATGAACTCCCTCGGTTGAACAGGATCCTGAGAGCTGCCAACATGATCATCTCCCGTTAATCTCTGTTGAAGATGGCCATGTAGTGGATCATTCACATTTTGTTTGAACCCTTCTAGGGGACTAGGAACACGGGGGAAAAAAACCCTGCGTCAATGCGCCTGTTTTTCCATTTGGATGTCTATGTTGAGCCTGTAACTTCGACGTAGTTGATGTTGGGTTTCCAAGAAAGATTCTCCAAAACCGCGAGCTTCTCCCTTCTACCAGTCCTGGCTCCTCACAGACGTTTACCTTTGCCTGTACTCAGCTGAGAAGAACGACCTTATACTAGAAGACCAACCCATGGTCCCGTGACCAAATAATGGAAACAAAGGTCTGAAAGTGTTTTTGAGTTTCCTGATGTATACTGAACAATTTTGACTTGGGCTGCCCGGTTGAAAATCCTGGGCATTTTGGGGAAGGGTCAACAAAGATCAAACAGGGGTCAAAATTCAAAATTGTGTAGATATGCATATCAAATTACTCGTCCAGTCATAAGGAACTGGAGCTATGGCCAAAAACGTTGAAAGGTCAACGCGCTTTTGGCAGTCGGTGAAATTCACAAACACAGTTAACATTGTCCGATAGTCATGATTTTAGTGTCTAATCATATGTTTTCTGACATGACAAATTCAACCAAGCAGCTTTTAAAAGTAAAAAGGGTAACCTTGACCTTGAAAATAGAAAATGGTTGGCTGCACGAAGAATGCTTCAGCAAAGTCACAGGATCCTTGGCCAATGATGCAGCATATTTCAGAATCCATTGTCCAGTAATGCTTTTCTAACGTTACTTTAGTGCACAGTTTATCATCCTACACTGTGTCATACCAATCAGATGCAGGGTCGGAATCACTGTCACAATCCCTGCGCTATTGGCCAAGGATCCTGTTTCCAATGACTTTGCTGAAGCATGACAATTCTTCGTGCAGCCCTTTTGGCAACCATTTTCAATTTCTTGCTGTAATCCCTGCCCATACCATAACGCTGCCGCCCCCGCACCGATCTTCTTCCATGACACAATGATTGACGTAACGTTCACCTCGACGTCGGTACACTCGAACCCGTCCATCGCTGTGGCTGAGGTGAAAACGAGACTCATCAGTGAATAGAACTTGTCCCCACTGCATGGCCGTCCAGCGTAGATGCTGTCTGCACCACTGTAGACGTGCTTGGCGGTGGATTCCTGTCAAAATGGGACGTCTGGCGGGTCTTCTGGCGACAATCCCTGCACATCTGAGGTGGCGACGTACGGTTTGTGAAGATATTCGTCGAAGGCCAGGGTTGCTTCTTGCAGTCACTGTTGCTGGCTGGAATCGATTCCGTAGGTGTGTTCGAATCCAGTTGTCTTGTCGATTATTGGTTATGCGTGGCCTGCCACTTTGAGGATGGTCACTGACTGCATTCGTCTGTTGCCAACGTTGCCATAAACACCAAATAGTGTTTCTGTGGACGTTAAATTGTCTTGCAACATCACATTGACTCGATCCTGCTTCAAGCATACCAATGGCTCGCAGATCTCATTTTCAGAAAGGCGTGGCATTTCATTATGTTGATTGATTGCGTAATGTTGTTGTTTTTCTGAGTGGTTGTTGTCAGCACCATGTTAAACAATTCATATGGAATCCCGTTAACGCACATGTTTTTATACCCATTCTTGGGTAGTGAAATGCATGGGGCTTGCATAAAAGTTAACCTTTGCATGGAATGCATGCATTTCTGTAGCAGTTGAGTTTTTGTTACTTGATTCCATACATATACTACAATATTGAAAACCAAACTTTACCTGTTTGAAAAATACACTAAAATATTGGTGTCACAGGAACTTTTGTTGTTGAGTATATGTAAAGTTAAAAACTATGACATTTACCTTGTGATGCACAGCCTTGATGTCCGTGATTGCTAACTGAAATGTAAGAGATGTTGGACAGGTCATACTGGGGTACTGAACAACCTAGAACAGGGAAACAACGTCAGAGGACTTGGGCAGGTCATACTGGTATACTGAACAACCTGGAGCAGGAACACAACGTTAGAGGAGTTGGACATATCGTACATGTGAAACAATGTCAGAAGCGACTGGTAGCAATGGGTTACAAATAGCAGATTTATAATCAAGGACAGGCTGAGAGATTTGTCTGTGAAAAAGGTCGAAGCAGAATAATAGTTGAGTTAGTCTTGACCGGAGAAAAGTGCACAAGTTTTTCATCAAGCTGAATCCATGCTCAACCTCTTTAGTGGAAGAAAGGATAAGCAGTGTAGGAGATGCGTCATCTTTGGAAAACACTCACCAAGGACACTATCTTTGCGAACAGCCTGATACAAATCATTCATCTTGAATTCACTTATCATGATTGTTAAATATATATAGGTTCCGCAAAATATTTAGCAAGGCAGACCATCTGCAACATCATCTGGGAAGTACACCAAAAGCTTGAGTGAGGGAGTGAGTGAGTATGGTTTTACGCTGCTTTTGGCAATACTCCAGCAATATCACGGCGGGGGACACCAGAAATGGACCCGAAAGCTTGAATCATATAAAAGTCTGGAAGGTAATTTAAGGTACCGACGTTTACTACAATATCTGAAAAACTATCGGACCTACTCCAGTCAAAGTTGGTATTAGATTATTAAACAGTCATACATTACTGGATATTACATTTAAAGACAATCGGTGCATGAATAAAAAATCTGTGTCTATTTAGCTTTCACTATATTTCATCAACAACCGGACCTGTTGTCACGGGTGGAACGAGCATTCATTGTAACAACCATCTGCATAATGCTACCCCTGCGTCACAGGGCCATATGACACAGTTCAACCAATCAACTCAACTCGAAAGGTTGCACGGGAATCACGCACGTTGAGACGCCCAACGCTAACACCGTATTCGTGCATGCGTGATTCCCGTGCAAGTCGTTCACACTTTCAGTTGTTCAGTTGTTCAGTTTGAGTGATCTGATCTTGCAGTTGTGTACATTCCTTCTTTCAACAACATTTACTTCGAAGGGGATACTGATAACACAGCCAAAGCATGGCTTGATATATTTTAAGTCACGATATTTATGAATGAAAAAAGGCTCCAGCCTGACTAGTAGGGGGTTGTCAATTGTGTCTATATTTCACAATCAACGGCGAATGACGTTGAAAAATTCCCAAATTTGAATTAATATATTCCCAATTTCGATCACTCAATCTGAACATTTCAGTTACAAATCTCTGTGGAAGTGTGAATGACTTCCGATATTGTGATTTAAAACATCCAACGATGAGAATAGCTTTCGGTTTTGATCGCTGGCATAAAATATTGTGTGTACAAGACGGGCATCTTTTCTTTTCTTATTTTGCCCTTGCCCCTCCTTTACAGCTGTCACTGACACCAGTCAGACTCAGTTTTGTAGAGTTTCACTGCTTTAGTACAGGGGCGTACAGTGAAAATTCAGATAGAACAAGGAACCGAAACATGTTTATTTCACAGTGGGGATACAGGCGTTGTTGGGTTCAAAGAGAGGTGGTGTTTGTCTTTTGAAGTTGACTATGCGCTTATATTGCCATTAGTTGACGACATTCCAAACAGGCGACTTGTTTATCAAATATAGTATCTAGCAAGAATAGATATAGTATTCGCTCATGACTTACCAAATATGTTGCCTTGTCCTACAATGTTGCAATTGTCGGCTGTGCCTCCAGCCATTCCTATCACTGTCTTCACATCCTTCTCTTCCCTCTGGGTGGTCTGAGGTGAACCAACATTCCGATTCCTGGCACCTTGGGCTGTCATATGTAACAAAAAAGATATGACAGAAGCTTTCATAGATGCTTTCCATCTAAAACTTAGGATATCTCCAGTGGAAACTGACAACTATCATGATGAGACAAAACGATGAACGTTCATGTTAATTATTGTATTTTCGTTAAAGATAACTGTCTTGTTTTGTTTGTTCATAAGTCGCTACGCTGAATCGGAGCAGAGCTTAATAAAGCTTTGTTCTAAGGTCCGATGAATCTTGCATGAAGGTTATGTAGGGTTACAGCTATCTCTGCCCTACCCTACCCTACCCTACCCTACCCTACCCTACCCTACCCTACCCTACCCACCCCACCCCACCCCACCCCACCCCACCCCACCCCACCCCACCCCACCTCACCTCACCTCACCTCACCTCACCTCACCTTACCTTACCTTACCTTACAAAATAACGAATTGCATTGGACAAAAGTTTTGTCACTGATGCGTCAAATTTGGAAATGTCCTCCACATGTCTACCATAAAACCATGTAACTTCTGAGCAAGAGTCATATTATGCTCTTTGAAATCTCCGATTGTACCTTAAAGCTTGTGTAATGTAGACACCAAAGCCTGGATTTGCTGGAATATTGCTGGACATTAAGGGAAAGTTGAAGTTTTCCATTATGTCACTCTGTATCTTTATGCATAGGTCTAAATATGCAATAAATGAGACGGTTTCATGGGTCCCTTATATTTGTTTTTCAGGGGATAAATCAGTAAAAGGAAATTGGCTAATTGATGGTTATTGAACGATATCGGATCATCGATATACCTGAAGATAAAAAGCACCTTTGCCAATTTACTTTGTTTTGACTTTGCCAATCTGAGGAGAAATTTCCGATTTATATGCATGAAGAAACAGATCAGCAAAAGGGGAACACAAATGGTGGCCATAGGCCAAATTCCTGCCTAAATGTCTTACTCAAACAATTTACAAAAACGTTATGATTTCACAAATTGTTTTCTCAGTAAACTTCAGATGCCATTTGTTTTCATGTTTGACAAATTTTGCTGTACCTCAGAAAATAGAGATGTAACTGTTTTTACCATGCTTTGTAACAAAAGCCCCATGGGTCAGCATTCATAACGATCGTGATCCCGATTGGCTGCTCACGTTGTCTTGGTCCACATTTGAATAAGGCTAAAAAAATATATTCTTGGTTCTCAGGCACCGCCGCATCATCACAGTTTCGTTTATATTTCCATTTTCCCAAAAGAATAAATCCTTCAATATTCGGCGTCTCGAACACAAGACCCCAACAGTGAAATGCTACAAAACTTAAAAACAATGCGATCCAATACAGCGTGCAGTTACTTCCCTTTTCATGCGCACTGCTTTTCTGCGCAACTTGTGTGTTATGGTGGCAATAGGAGTTTTTGTCCTTGTTTAGCTGTAAGCTAATTGGTCATTGAAACATGAAATTTGCTATACAATATCATTAGACATGATGATGTACAAATTCAATGGTATTTGTGTACTGTATGCGGGACAATGTTTCATACCCAGAGGTTAAGATTTACAATTACATGTGTATTTGTCTTGTAAAATAAGCGGGAAATCGATGCTAATTTATATACCCAGTCTATAAAGCAAATCGGTATGAAGCATGTCATCAGTGCATACAAAATCCCTACATTTACAAAAAAAACGTATTGTCTTTCGCAGAAAAAAATGACATCATATCCCTTCAGCGAATCCAGGGAAACGAACATATTGCAATGAACTTGGTCAATACAAATTTGAAATTTGAGATAAAACATCACAGGACATGATGATTTACCGATTAAATTGTATATCCTGTTCTGACTGGCATTGTTATGCAGAGATTAAGATTACCGTGTGTATTTTCTCAAAACCTAAGCCGGAAGTAGCAATCAGCTGTACACATGTTTCTCGGAATCTACCGGTGATACGATAAAAAAACACGAAATAATATAACTGATTTTGATACATGAGCAGAAGAATTGTATCTGAAACTATATTTTATCAGGAATAATTTATTCCAATATCATGTTATTTTAGTTGCAGCTTTACTATTATCTATATATATGTGATATAAATTATTAACCATAAAGCGTAGCACTTTGGTACAGCTGATCGCTATTCCCGGATATGTTTTTTGTATGGAACGCTTTGACCAATCACCGTCGATGCTCCCGCGCCCGCGATTGCTAAAACCTTTTGTTGACATATAATAGTCAAACTACAACAAATATGACTTTCAGCAAGTCAATGTATGGCATTTATGATATATATATCCATTCTCTATCCACTAAAGTTTGTTTCAAGGCGCCAATAGCGGTAACATGACCGTGGTTGCTGTAAATAACGGTGAGTTGTGCGATCTTCCGATCACTTCGTATATGACTTGGCCGAAATGAGCTGAAACAATATTGAATGAAATTTTCAATACAATTAATAAAATAGAATACAAACTTAAGTTCAGATATATAATTAACTCTTTTTTTACAACCACTACAGTGTAATTACATGATTAATTATCGTTCTTCAGTGCGGACTTGTTGTACGCAATGTTAAGTAGTTTGGAATGGTTAAGTGACGTTGTGAGGTTGTGATGATGCCATAGAGGATTAACCACTGTGTTCGGTTGTTACCAAAAAATCTACACACGAGTGATTAATCTGCCACGATTAGAACGACGCTTTGTCGAGTTCTAATCGTGGTAGATTAATCACGAGTGTGTAGATATTTCGGTAACAACCGAACACAGTGGTTAATCTTTTTTCTCCCATAACAATACGCCATAAATAGTCGAGCTCGTAGTTGAAGATTTCCCGTGTTTAGTAACCACTCAGGATACCCCCATCCTCGTTTTCGAATATGTTCAGTAAGACAACTGCACCATAAGGTAAAATGGATCTAGCGAAGACAATTCACACGAGTTTTCCGTGACAGGCAAGCCACTTGTTAGCCTTCATGTTATGTTTTTTTGTTAACTATTAAAAGTTGATGGGAGGAACGTTTTCAGAATTGTTAATGTGATTTGATATTTGTTGATGGCTTTGGATTACTCGGCCCCTAACTTTATTTACATTCGTCTTGCCGTGACTATCATTCTCAATGCACAACACTAAATAGGCAGTGATAGGTTCACCTTTTGAGTGTATGTAAATACATTATTCGTTTATTTGTCCATTAGAAACTAATGTAATAAAGCCAAATATGAGGAAATTAAATATTTTCTTTTTTGTAACATAATGTTAACAGAAAACAAGGGCCAGCAGGATTGATCAGGCAAGATTCTATTAACTCAGGCAACTGATCAGCTGATTACTGCTAGGTAAATCTTCTCAACTCCATCAATGAATTGCAATATTTTTAAACGAATTTTCGTCTTCAAAATGAACTTTACAGTGAATAATCTAATATGTAAAATTATGATGATTTCATATGTTGTCTTTTTTTGTCTTTTTTTTTGGTTCCTGAACATGGTGAGCAAAAAGAAATTATTTACTAATTCAGTGGATAATGTTTCTTTTGACCATAATATTTAACATCATATCACAAAAAATGTAACTTATGTTAAATGAGTTATCTAATTTTCCCATATGTGAGTATGACACAATGTGAAATTGACAAGGACAATACTTTATTGTGTGGGAAACATAAATACATAGGATATATGTAAACAATAAATTATCATTTCAATAGTTATACAAACATTGTAATACCCTTGTAATATTACGTTGTTATTTTACTGCTACAGTTACATCCAAACTTTTGTTCTTTCTTTTTTTTTATCAGATTATAAATTAAGAATTACTGATAATAGGTATTTAAAATTTAACATGTTTATTATCATGAAACCAAGACTCATAATAAGTATATATTTAGTGACCTGTTCATATGTGATTTTTTTTGTAAAAAGAATTTAAATTTAAATTTGTCATTGCTTATGTTAAGAAATGAGGTTAATGGTCAATGTTATAAGATGACCTCTTGTTGGTCGTTTCTTCATCATCCATAAATTTGAGTTTTTCTTTGCTTACCAAGTTCTGAAAATTTACACCTTACACATTAGAATAAATTAAGGTCTGTGATTAAAATAGTGACACAGCTTTCCACTCTCAGGCAGCCAATAAGATTGTGTAAAAAAAATAACCCCCTATAAACCATGTAATGGGAGAATAATCCAGAAAAATAACATTTCTTATTTCTTCATATGTCCAGCTTATCATCCAAAGAAATGCTGAATAATTATCATTAAAATTAAGCTAGCTATGCATATTGGAGTTCTTTATCTTCTATGATAATATAACAATTGCATTATTAAAGAACTGGTTTTTCAGTAAACATGGTAAATAATTAAAAAATCTTTGGTGTAAAAGAATATACATGTATGTGAGACAAACATAATTCTAATTCCTTTAATACTCTGTATTGTCTGTTAATTCTGAAAAAGATCACCCGTGATAGTGAGTTTTTACCTAAAACTGATAATATGAAATTAATTTTGAGATGATTTCATCCTTTCCAAAATACCAAATATATTTTAAGATGCATAAATGTTAATCATAATTGAAAAAAAATATTGTTTTTGAAAAATATTCCTAATAAGGTTGATTGGTGCCCACCATCTTTATCTTTATCATTTTGTCTGCTCCCTATAAGAAATCGAAATAGCTGAGAAAAAATATAAATACATGGATCTAGGTACTTCACTTAATACATTCAAGTTTAAACGTGGTAATGTTGTTGTTTTTTAAAAAGAGTTTCTTAATTGTCCTGAAATAGTATGTTTAAATAATTGAAGTCTTCAAGTTAAAAAAAACAAACAAATAATTATAGGCAAAAATGATTGCCTTAAATTGATCTGGATAAACTCCAACTGTTGAAAGGGGAAACAACTGTGGTGGTTGCAAAATATCTTCGTTGTGAGATGTTCGGTCCGGCAAAGGTTGATCGTTTAATGCATCCAAAATTGAGTATTGCTTTTAAAACAAATTATTGAAGGTGTTTATTTTGTTAAAATATGAAATATAAGACTCAATTATTTTAATATAACTATGAAATAGGTTTTTGACGCTGGGTTACACAAACTGATTTTTGTTTGAGAATGTTTTTGAATTTAAGGCATCAGCTCCTTGTTTGAAAAGATACCAGTGATAGTCCAAAACTCATAAAAACACATAAATCGTCATTAACAGGTAGGTTGTAAACATTTGGTGACAGTTGGAACAGATACTCAAATTACAGGAGCCATCATGCATTACAAGTGGATCTGAAGACATACTTTTATTTTATATTGGCTCGTTTTCTTAATTTTCATATAGTTTCAGCTCCTTCTGAAATCATCAGCCCGAGGCAAGGGAGTTAACTGACTGAATATCACCAAAACATATTTTGTCTATTAGGCATACATACCTTCATCTACATGTTCAATGTCTATATTTTCTGTATTCTCCACAGTGTTGCCTGCTTCTTCAGCCGTTTCTTGCGGGTTGTCTGTGGCAGTACCTGCAAGTTCCTTGTTTTCCCCATCTGGTGCCGTGTCATCGTCATTGTGTTTCACCCTGCGCTTTGGTGGTGTACATCCTCCATGCTCTGTGTGACTTTCATCCGTCTGTCCTTTACGTTTCTCCATCCCATTGATATTCAGTCACTAAGTATATTGTTCTATTTTATATCTCTGAACATTCTTCATTCTTTCCTGTCATTCACCAGTGTCTTGAATCTAAGATGTCATCAAACTCATCATCCTACAACAAAAACGTCTACATGTGTACAATGTTCATCTGTAGGACAGTCCTACACGTGGTCATTTGGTATTGGTGTATGAAGATTGAGAACTCTCTGCCACGCCACTGTAGCTAACCTGGATATGTAGTCAAATCGTTGTTTGCTTTCCATATGGTCAAAGTGCAAAGGTCAATTATTATTTTTCGTATTTTACGAAATAACAGAGACATACATATTAAACACTACACTACAGATGAACCAAATTAAATTAGATGTTTAAATAGCTGAGTAAAAGCCATAAATAGTCCTTTTTCCATGTGATTACCAATATGGGGTAACATCAAGATGTTTCTGTGAATATGTTTACAGTGCAATGAAATGCATTGTAAAAGGATTTAACAACATGGTCAAAGTGCAAATATGAAAATATCAACTATAGCAGTTAACATAACATATACACGTTGGGCCCCACTACCAACTACACATGTACTAAATTACATGACATTTAGAACAATAATGAGCGAGCAACATATGGCTTACACAGTGTTGTACTTATTAACGCTACTGTAAGAGACACACATCTAACTACACACTTCTACCAAATTACTTTTTTAACAATAATGTCCGAGTAATATAACAGCAATATTGAACAACGGATTCAAATCTCTTGAAGTAATTCAGGCATCATTATCATTCAGAAGAATCATGTGAACTTGAAGCGTCATTGGTACTGTGGTTTCTGGGGAGAATATGTTACCAGACGATGTCGTCTCAGGATGCCAGACAAGCAAGCCATGGCATCAGCTCAATTGAAAACAAGATAAGCACATAAAGCAAAATATGGCTCACTCTGCAACATCCAGTGGTTTGCGGCCACCATGGGAATTGCAGGCACAGACAGAAGCTAGCCACGCGCATCGCACAGTGAAGGGCTTGACTCATAAGAGTCATGGAACGGGACAGCCAGAACATTCACTCTGGGCACCACACGAACCAAGTGAGCATTCCGTTTGCACTATCGTTTCAAGCTGTGTTAGGTTGGTATATGAAAGACACACTGTTTAGAAAGATCACTTTGAAATGAATGACGTAAGGTGACATCAGATTGTGTGAACTAGTTTTATCCACATAGGGCGGGGCCATAATAGTACACCGCCGTATACCCAAGACTTTCGAAGTATATGATAGTATTTTAACATGAACAACTTACAGAGAGACTATCAATGGGATAATATCAGATCCTAATATTTGTTATAAGGGAATGTTTCATTTGTATTGGTATGTATTTTGCATATTTCAACTTTGTGTATTATTTCCACAGGCCTCCGTTCATATAATATATTAAAAAACTGGCATCTGAATATCAACTTGCCTTGCGTGATTTATTCACAAAACCACTGCAGTTATACGAATATATTGTGCTATGTACACGCTATAATCGAGTTCCTATGGCTCGTATATATTGATCGGTGACTTCATAAACATAGTGAAAATCTCTTTGAAATTTGTGTTAGGATGATAAATGGAGACACACTGTGTTTAGAATGGACATTTTCAAAGGAATGATGTGTGTAAGGTGACATCAGAGTGTGTGAACTAGTTCTATCCACATAGGGCGAGGCCACAAGAGTACACCGCCTTTTACCCAAGACATTAAACAACAACATTAAGATAGCAGTGGACAGAAACAGACCTACCCTAAACATGGAGACAATGTGGGAGTATATGATAGTATTAAACATGAACAACTTACAGAGAGACTATCACTGTGTGCGGCCAGTCCACCCGTCTGTACAACCAGGAAGTAACCAGTGATTTTACTTTCGTTGTCAAGTAGGTAGGGGAAGCAACTCTTACAGTTACAGTCTATTTTAGATCCATGCACACACCCCTTCTATACAGAACAGGTTCAATACCCCTGGCTTTAAAATGACATGTTTGTTTCGATAATTCGCCTCATGTTCTGTTTCTCATTAAGTTACCTTTCTCTGGCACATGTTAACCTAATCTGTACATACTGCTACTATTAGGGGTAGCTGTATATTAATGGTCTATGTGTGAGACCAATTCGAGGGACTCAAGTGCCATACTTACCACACAATACAATACACCCAGTAAAGTGAAAAATCCATTTTAGGTCATTTGTTTATTTCCTGTAAGGTATGAATAACTTTCACAAATTGAGGCACAAGCCATAGGTTTCAAGAGTCATATTTACAGTAAAGAATTCATGGAAGATGAGGTAGACAATTCCTTATTCCTTCTGACAAAAAAAATGTTAGGACTTAATTTCTATTTGAAATAAACTTGAAATAACGAGACAGAAACTAAAATAATCGAAAGTACGAGATAAGAATAGAAATTTCGCGTTTAATAGATTAATTTGAAATCACGGGAAAATATTCAAAATAATGAAAGTGAGTGAGTGAGTGAGTGAGTAAGTATGGTTTTACGCCGCTTTTAGCAATATTTTAGCAATATTCCAGCAATATCACGGCAGGGAACACCAGAAATGGGCTTCACACATTGTACCCATGTCGGGAATCGAACCCAGGTCTTCGGCGTGATGAGCGAACGCTTTAACCACTAGGCTACCTGACCACCCCCAAAGTAACGAGAAAAAACACAACATTTCGTGAAAATAACTGAATTAATGAGGAATTTCGATTTCGAAAATTACATTAATGACCACAGTGACACCATCGGCTTTCAAATGCAGGTCTTTGACGTTAACCACTTTCGTGAATCCAAGAGCACGGATAGGGTGCTGAAAATCCCGGAAACATAATCGGAGCGAGCCGTAAATCGAACCCAGGATCATAGGGGCGCAACTCTGCACAGCGAATTGCGGTGCCTCTGGCGACTGGCTCAGAAGAGTGATGGACTGTCCATACTGTTGGATCATCCGAAACAGTGTCTTCAAGCTAGTGTTCATGTCGGTGTGAATGTTTCCCCTACTGCTGACTCCCCTCCGTCACAACTACAGTATTTGTCAATTGTTCGGTTTCCAGTCTTCACCAGATGATTCTGGCTATGTAGTCAACAATTTAAAATGCCAAGTCATTTTAAAAATGACAGCCACTTAACAAACTCTAAAATGTTGTGAAAAACGTATGTTTTTATTTCCACGCCAGGTCTGGACAAACGCAGACCACCACAAAACATAAATCAAAACATAAATGCACGAGAAATGTCAGTCTTAAATACTTACTGAAACAGATTCAATAGAGAGTTTCAGTCAGGTGAGCTAATAATAGATCTTCTTGCCAACACCCTCATGTGTATTGATGGTTACTTTACACATACACTGAAAACACCCTCACAAACTGTGTTAGAATGGTAAAGGAAAGACACACTGTTGAGAACGGACATTTTCAAATGAATGACGTGTGTAAGGTGACATCAGAGTGTGTCAAACAGTTCTATCCACATAGGGCGGGGCCACAATAGTACACCGCCTTTTACCCAAGACTTTCAAAAATTAAACAACAACATTAAGATAGCAGCGGACAGAGATAGACCTACCCTCAACATGGAGACAGTGTGGGAGTATATGATAGTATTAAACATGAACAACTTACAGAGAGACTATCACTGTGTGCGGGCAGTCCTCCCGTCTGTACAACCAGGAAGTAACCAGTGTTTTGCTTTCGTTATCGGGTAGGTAGGGGAAGCAACTCTTACAATAACAGTCTATTTTAGATCCATATACACGTTCCTTCTGTACGGGTCAGGTTCAAACCTCCTTGCTTCACATTTACATGTTTGTTTTGATAATTTGTCTCATTTTTTCTGTTTCTCATTAAGTTACCTTTTTCTGGCACATGTTAACCTAGTCTGTGTAGACTGCTACTTTTAGGGTATTTATTATGGACTGGATGTGAGACTAATTCCGGTGACTCAAGTGCCATACTTACCCCACGGTACAAAACACCCAGTAAAGTGTCATACGTACCCCACGGTACAAAACACCCCGTAAGGTGAAATGTTTCTATTTCTAGTAAGTTATGATTAACTATCACGATCATAGGGATTCCCTGTCGTAGTCTGAGGGACAGCTGTCTTGTGAAGGCTTGGGTGTGAGATCAAGCCAAGGGTTTCAAGAGCCATATTTACAGTAAAGTATACATGGACGTCCCAAGAAGATGAGGGAGGCAATTTCTTATTTCTTCTGATTGAAAAACGGTTTGTTCTTAATGACATCACCAGACGAATAAAACATGTACTGGAAATGTTTCAGATATTTTTCGATTTGAAATAAACTTGACCTAAAGAGAGAAAAATCTAAATAATGAGAATAGATTAAAAAATTCGAGTTATTGAGACTAATTTCAAATAAAGATATTCGAAGTGGCGGAAAACTAATTAAATTCGAGGAAATAATTGAATGACGATAAATTTCGATTTAGAAAAATACAATAATGCTACCAAAGTGACACCATTCGGCTTTCGTATGCGGATCTTTGACGTTCACCATTTTCGTGAAACCCAAGAGCACTGATAGGGTGCTGCCAAACCTGGAAACATAATCGGGGAGAACTGGAATTCAAACCCAGGATTATAGGTAAATAACGTCCCCAAGAGACGCAACTCTGCACAGCGAATTGCAGCGCCTTAGACGACGAACTCAGACCGAGGTGAAGTGCCAATACTGTCGGATCATCCGAAACTGTGTCTGTAAGTAAGTGTGTGTGAGTAAATTAAATTTACCGACGCTTTCAGGACTATTCGTGTGATGTCACGTTGGCGGACCCATATTGCACGAACATTAATGTAGGCAATCAAACTCGGGCATTTGGGGAGACAAGCCAAAAATATGTGTACAACATAGAGTGTTCTCAGATGAGGGAGTGACAAGTCAACGATACGTGTGACACAAGGTTCTCTGGGAGCCTGACAATATTCTACATGTTCTGTTGGTGCTAGTATCTATGTTAGTGTACACTCTTCAAAAACAGAAACGCAGAGGTAGTATGTAGTTCAATTAACCTGACTACACAAAAGATCCAGTATATAAATTGGATATATGTAATTGGAAAATGTTGGTGTCCTGATATTCGACAATGCACTATAGGCCTTTGGCCTCATGAGTACCATGAATAAAGATTGATTGATTGATTGATATTCGACAAACGGTGCGTCAAAATGCAGCCATTGTCGATTTGCAATGTCTTAAACGGCATTGTTTTCACACTTGTTAAAAAATGTCATGGAGGAAAGGAAAATGCATGTGCAAGTTATGGCATTCGTAACTCGTGGTAGTGGCTTATTATAAAAAGGAAAGCAGAAGCCAATAATTTGTCATTCATATGTCAACATTTTCAAGTTCGAAAATCCGAGACTCACTGCTGCCGATCGGAAGATCGCCATAGGACGTATCCTGAGAGGGGAATCGTAGTCTTCTGTTGCCCGCCACTTCAACGTCCACCACAGCACCATTTGCCGCCTTTGTGTCCGGTACACACAGTTCAATTCCACTGCGGACCGTCCGAGAACCGGCCGACCAAGAGTTACCACCCCTGCACAGGATCGCTACATTCGACTGTACGTCATCGCAATGCCACAGCTACGGAGACTCATCCCTGGTTTCAGGAGGATATCGGACCAGACAGTCAGGAACCATCTTCGCGAGGCTGGAATCCGATTGTTTTGCAACAGATCAATCGACAGCGACGCTTGCGTTTGTGCCATACCTTACAGCCTTGGAATTTGAGAAACTGGAGACGAGTGTGGTTTAGCGATGAATCACGATTTCTTCTTCACCGGCGAGATGGAAAACGTCGTCACGGTAGACTACCTTCATAATGCCAACATCAATAACTTGTCTTGGCTGGCAAGATCTCCAGATCTCAACCCAATCAAACACCTCTGGTATGAACTCGATCGACGTGTACGTCAACGTCAGGACACGCCGCAGTCACTCTCACAACTGGCCAACGCGTTACAATCAGAATGCCGAGGAGATGCAGACCCGTGATTGCTGCCAGGGGCGTTCACACGAGATACTGAGTTCAGCGCCACCTCGTGGCCTTATGTGACATGACAATGAACAGTTTTCAATGAATTTGTACAACAACGGGTGACTATCGAGCTCCAAAATGTCATATTTCTATCTATGATATTAAATTAAATATATCGACTTTATTAGGTACAATAAATTTACTAAAGCTCTACATGTGCGTTTCTTTTTTTGAAGAGTGTATGTCCAGTATCCTAAATATACACGCATTACAAGTCAAAATTGTAATTAAGGTGTCCTGTAGCATAGTATTTGCAGTACGCCATTTCTATGCATCCATGTATCACATCATACTATTGGTCAAAGTATTCAAGTATTCTAGTATGTATCCGCGTATTACAGTATCCAAATATATAAGATAGCTATGCGATAAATCACAAAGAACAATGGAGAACGAGGCGTGGTTATTTGGCGATAAAACATTGTTTTTTAATGACGTGATTTCTGCTGTCTCTGTGGTTCACTCCCCTCTGTCACAGGTGGAGCGTCTGTGGATAGTCGCAAAGATCAATGAGTGAGTGAGTGAGTGAGTACGGTTTTACGCCGCTTTTAGCAATATTCCAGCAATATAACGGCGGGGGACACCAGAAATGGGCTTCACACATTGTACCCATGTCGGGAATCCAACCCGGGTCTTCGGCGTGACGAGCTAACGCATTCACCACTAGGCTACCCGACCGCCCCTCAAAGATCAATGGAGAACTAAGCGCATTTTTTAAATTGGAATATGCGTTCGCAACTTGATGACGTTATATATTGGACGTCATTATTTTTTAGAGTGAAGTGTCAAGTGAGTTGTTCCCCATAGATGTAGCTGGGCAAGGAAGAAAAAGGCGATGGCCGAACGATCGCACACCAAAGAGTGACAGATATGACAATCGGTATTGGGAGAAAAGGGTCAGGTAATCGACGCGAGGATTGTGAGAATATGCGGGAAATACCAGTCTGTGCATGAAATGGACTTGTCCGACATTGCCGAGGTGAGACTCTATTGAGGGAGTTATCATTACTTGAATACGGGTAAAACGTTTTAAAGCGTGTACGTTTTATCATCATCCTTAAGAGGCTGTACATAATGTTTATATCTCATGTAAGAAACTAACGACTCGTGGTCGTTGTTTATGTGTAGGATAAAACACATGGTTTTTTTTCAACATTTAAAACACGAATCCAAGGGATAAAACAGAAGGGCGCCATTCCCCAGGTTTTATCCCGATAATCAGGGTTTTAAATGTCATAAAACCCGAGGGTAAGT